GTAGATAAATAACATACTGTTGAGCTCCTATTAAACAGCTGTGACTAGGGTTGCCAGATCCAGGGTGGAAAACTGCAGATTTGGGGGTGGAGCCTGGGGAGGACAAGGCTCTCAGTGGGGTACAGTGCCATAGAGTCCACCCTCCAAAATAGCAATTTTCTCTAGGGTCACTGTAATCTGCAGATGAGCTGTAATTTCAGGGGATCCCCGGGTCCTACCTGGAGGCTGGCATCCCTAGCAAGACATTTTTTTATCCAGGCAGTTGGCAACCGGATGGCCTCAATAGAGTGCTACGTGGATCTGGATCTAATAAGAGTCCATTTGGTCAGAGAAATTTTAACACAGAATTCTGTCTACCTCTTTGCATGATTAAAAAAGTATACCAATAGTTCAACAAGCTATAAAAAAGCCAACCTGAGTTTACCACATTCATGTACTGCCATCTCCTGGTTACTGTAAGAAACAAAGTGTAATACGAAAACATCTCCTAATTTTTTTTAAATCTGAGCAGTTCCACCCTTCTAAGGGGCAAGCTAGATGCAACCCGACACAACCCAACTAATTTCCCCGATGCCCCATAGTAGCTGCAGGGAATTACATTTTTTAAATTAGCAGAATGCTAGGGTTGCCAATTCTGGGTCTGGAAATACCTGGAGATTGGGGGAGGGGGGTGGAACCTGCAGAGAGAAAAGGCAGGACCTCAGTGGGGTATATTACCATAGAGTCCACCCTCCAAAGCTGCCATTTTCTCCAGGGGAATTTATCTCTGTTGCCTGAAGATCAGTTCTACTTCCAGGAGATCTCCAGGGCCCTTCTGAAGGTTGGCAATGGCAACTCTAGCTTGTAACTGCACTGGGAGGGGCACTTGCTCCCCCAGGCTGTTTCCCAAGCTCAAGCAGCCCCGGGGGTGTTATTTCCCCCTTTTCACAGTTGCACATACACATAATACTGCAATACTTTAATAGTATTGTCAATCCTAAAAGAAATCAACCCTGACTGTTCCCTGGAAGGCCAGATAATGAAACTGAAGCTCAAATACTTTGGCCACCAAATGAGAAGGGAGCACTCACTGGAGAAGACCCTGATGCTGGGAAAGATTGAAGGTCAAAGAAGACGACAGGGACGGCAAAGGATGAGATGGTTAGACAGTGTCATAGATGCAACGAACATGAAGTTGAGCCAACTTCAGAGGACGGCGGAAGACCGGAAGGCCTGGCGTGATCTGGTCCATGGGGTCGCGAAGAGTCGGACTCGACTGTGCAACTGAACAACAACAACTTTAATAGCGGGAAAACTTTTTAAAGTATCATGTGTAGTTTGGCACTAAGCCCTTTGACTTCCATGAATTTAGAAGGATGTTACTCTGCTTAGGATGGTAGTGTACGCTAGCCTTAGGGTTGATTCTTACTTGACTTTTGTACTAAGGTACATATGCATGTAAAAGATTCCCTAGCAGCTCATTAAAGCATCTCTGGTACCTTGACTAGGAAAATGTCCACCTGAGAGAGCTTGGAAAGCCACAATCAGTGTTACTGGACTAGATGGACCGTTGATCTAATGGACCATTATATCCTGAATGGCCCACTTGTTTGGTATAAGAATGAAAAGCAATAGATATGATCCTGTCCTAAAGCTGGAAAACCTTTAGCCTATAACAAGGTTTGATGTCATGGAAACAACAGTAGGCAAGGGAAATTTTAAAAAACAAGTACGACTGAAAAAGGACTGGAGACAGAGTTTTCTGGAAACAATTGGAGTCAAACTACAAGCAACTCATAGTTACAGACATGGTTACAAGTTGACACGACCTCCCAGTAATATTTTATTCTGCTCTGTATACTAAGTAATCTGCCTCAGGAATAGTCTCCTCCTCAACCAGCACTCTACTTATGTCACATCATTCTGTTTCAGGGACTGGATTCCACTCAGAACATATAACTGCCATGCTTTCTAGGTTGCATCTTATATTCTATATTGTTTTCTGCCACAGGGTCCTGCAGCAGAGTATGGTGTAATGAACCTATGCCCTTGAAAAAGTAGCTACTTCTAGTCAAGTGCCACGGGTAGAGAAGGGTGTCAATATGCTGATGACTGCTAGCTCTGTATTTCTGTGTCTAGGCCTCCAGAAGCAGCAAATCACAAGCTGCATCGGAATCCAGAAAAGATTAATGTGATACTGGTTTACAAGGCAGATATTCTGGGTAATACTATACTGTGTACTTTCAGTGGGATAAGTCTGTCTTTATTACAGTCCATTTTCTTTAGGGGTTCTGTTGAATCTAGCTCTTTTGTTTGCAATGTAGGCATGGGTACTGGCCAAAAATATTTTCTTCCAACTTTTATTTTAGCACAACTATTAGCTCTTAGCCTAGAATCAGATGAATTAGTTCTACTAATTCATGCTATGCTAACCTTAAGACCAGACTACTGTAGCATGCTCTACATGGAACACCCCTTGAAGACAACTCAGAACCTTCAATTGGTTTAAAATGCAGCAGCTTGATTATATGCAACAAGCCTCATTCTGCACATATTACACCTACTTTAAGATCATTACATTAGCTGCCTTGCGAGTTCAATTTAAGGTGCTGCTCTTACCTTTAAAGCCCTTCACGGCCCACATACTTGAAGTACCAAGTACCCACATACTCTCTATTACATACCTGTTGTGTATGTAATGAAATGAATGCATGAGCTTGAGTCTGACCAAGGTATCGTAAACCAACCTATGAGAACAAAGGTAGTTCTGGAGGGAAGCAAAGTGATTGGTCTTTATGCACTGTATTTGATTGGACCATAGCTGACATGTGGGCATGGCTTGCCAAGCCCTGACTGTTTAAAAAGGAGCCTGTT